GGTAGTACATACTTTTTTTAAATTTGGAGTAGGCAGAGTATATAGTGGAATTGTTATTCATGAGAAAAGGGTTACAATGATTGTTTCAAGGACTAAAAGACTGCAAGTAAATTTTAAAAATGTTAACTTAAAAGAAGTTCATAAAGTGAGAGTTTTATCTGTCCCAGTTACCTCTTACAGCTGCATTTACTGATGTGAATTGATGTGTTGATTAAAGACACACAAAAGGGAGGCAGAAAGGGTAGAATTACTCTTTTAATGAATGTTCAGATAGTTACTCTGACCACAGAGATTGGCTTAACTGAGAACATTACTGTAAAAGTTCCATCTTACAGGTCTTTTTGTTTTTGTTTTAATAAAGAAAAGGCTCCTTTGGGATATTGGGTCTTCCTGAGTGCGTAGATAGCTTGGCAACAATTACAAAGATGGTCCTCCATTGATTTCTTCTGGAATTTTTTTTGGGGGGGCGGGGGCGGAGGGATTGTCCTTCTAGCCTGCAGTTCGGACATTTCTTGGAGGTCAGAAACAAACATCCAAGTATAGTTCTGCTTAGTTTATCAAAATCAACGAATTTATAGGTTTTGCAAATATGTAATAAGAAATATAGATTATCTGGGCCAGCTAAAATTATTTTTCTCAGAAAGAATATGACCTAACTAAAATCAGTAAAATATATGTTTAATACTGTTAATAGATAAAGCCCTTCTTTTTTGTTCTATAATTTAATGTTTCACTGAATTTTATAAAGCTGTTTACATTTTTAGATCTTCCACCACCACCAGACCCACCTCCGGGTCAGGGAATAAGGCAACAGATAGGTACTGGCCAACGTGGAGGTTCAACAGAGAGAAAAGGGAGCTCTTTAGAGCGACAGCATACAACCAACATAGATGAAACAAAGAGTTCTTTGGATCGCCAAGGTAGAACATCATTAGAGTGGCAACGACAAACCCAGGATTGGCTAACTTCCACCGAACTTCAAGGCCAGCAAAAGCAAGCCTTTGGATCAGGTGTGTAATTGTACATCTCAGAGCAGCTTAGGCAATTCCCTAAACCTGTTATAATTTACTATTAATTCCCTTACAAATGGTGAAGGTCAAGGCTTACGTAGCAACAAAGGATGTCAATTAGCATCTGACATCCATTGTTATTTGTTCTTACAAGGGTGAAGCATTGAATACACCTAACATTCTGATTGAATGCTTTCTTTTAGGTATTAATAATGCTGTTATTCTATACACCTGAAGCATTTATTTATTATCTGAACAATTATCTTTGAAGCATGTATTTGTTGTGTTTTTAAAACACTGATCTAAAATTTTTACGTGCTAATAGTGCACTAAATATCTTTATGTTCATTAGCAAACATTGATTCATATATAATTCATTTTTTTCTGAAAAATGGTCAAAATTGTGACTTGCTTGTATGTAACTTTTAAAAGATAAAGGTTAGAAATTTTGTTCAGCCAGTTTAGTGATTTGGAAGTCTTATTTATAAGAAATATATTTACTATATTCATAAATTATTGTCTACAGATTTCAGATATTCATTCTACTAACTGGTACAATATATTTCAGGCATCCTGAATTAGTGGAATAAATTCTATATTCATAGCTCTTTACCAAAAAATTATAAATTGCAAATAAATAATAAGAAAAAAATATTTACATATGATAAAAGCATGCTGACATAAATTCTTTATTCTCATGATATTCAGTAATAATGATGTGTTTTATGGGATGCACAACAATAATGCAATGCACTAATTGACTGCTGAATTTTGATTATTTTATAAGAACAACAATCTATTATTTTGGGATTATTACTGTGTAAATATAAGAGTGGAATATATCTATCTAGGAATCAGCCTCAGTGAACTGAAAAATACACTTCAGAAATATATTTATGGTCTTTTATTCTGCTAAATAAATGTTCTATATCTTGTTACTGTATATAATACTGTCCTTTCCCAATACACATGCAGCAATAATGCTGCAGTGATTGTGTCACAGACCCAAGTAGATATAAGAAAATCAATAAGGGCAATGACATTCTTCATTAAAGACCATTTGTTAGACATTATGTCTGAACACTTTTTTAAAAAAATGCCAAAATGTTAAAAGACACCAGGATAGGACAAGCAAGAACAAGCAATGTAATTCTGTATGGTCCAGGTTCAATACATGGTTTAAAAATTGGGTTATAATGTTAAAAAAAATGTATTTCAAAGTAGACATATCAGAAGACATATTGCATATTGAGGCTTGAGTTCAATCAATCAATCATTCAGACTAGAACTGGAAGGGATATTGAAGGTCTTCTAGTTCAACCTCCTGCTCAAGCAGAAAACCCAATACCATTTCAGACAAGTGGCTGTCCAGTCTCTTCTTAAAGACCTCCAGTGATGAAGCACCTACAACTTCTGAAGGCAAGCTATTCCACTGGTTAACTGTTTCCACTGTTAAAAAGTTCCAGGTTGCTTCTCTGCTTGATTATTTTCCATCCATTGTTTTCTTGTCTTGCCCTCTGATGCTTTGGAGAATAAGTTGACCCTCTCATCTTTGTGGCAGCCCTTCAACTACTGGAATACTGCTATCATGTCACCCCTAGTCCTTGTTTTCTCTAGACTAGCCATACCCAATTCCTGCAATGGTTCTTCTTATGTTTTAGTCTCCGAGCTCTTAATCATCTTAGTTGCTCTTTGCATTTTTTACAAAATCTCAACAACTTTTTTGTAATGTGACCAAAACTGGATGCAGTATTTCAGGTGTGGTTCAAACTGTACTATTTATGTACTATTGCCATAGCTTATTATTATGTATGAAAGTCTCAGATTCATTTTGTAGCCACTAACCTTTGACGTGAAATTAGGAAAAGCTTTTACTTACAACTCAGTTGTATGGACTGATGGTACAACATAATAAAACCAGGTTCCTATAATCCTAATCCTAGTCACTTTAAATACTTGTTAGAACAGGGGTTCCCAATCTTTGGGCTGCAGCCCACTAATGGGCCATGAGCTGTTTGCAACTGGGCCATGGAAACTGAGCATGCGTGCATACATGCATCTGACTTACATGAGCAGTGGGCATGCATGTGCATGCAAGCTCCATTTGTGTGAGCAATGGGTGAGCGCATGCACATACACTCCCTTTGTGTGAGCGGCAGGCTTACAGGCAAATGGAGCTGTGTGCAGGCCCACATGCTTGCCAGCCGCTCACGCGGAACCATTCCCTCTCCCCCCCTCAACAGTCTGCAAAGCTGGAAAGGTTGGGTAACTCTGTCTTAGAACATAGAACAGATTTCAGTAATGGATTATGAACTAAATATTTGAATATTGCTTTACCACCATCTTGTTTGTTTTCTACTGGAATCAATAGAATGTAAATGGATTAATCTTGGTTGGAATTTTAGTTCTAAGACTAGGTGATATATTTTTTCCAATAATTTTATTGATTATATTAAATTTGTAAATCTAATATAAGAACCAAACACAAAAATAGTTTGGAAAAAGAATCAACCACCAAGAAAGAAGTAATAAGAGAAAGAAATTTCCACCTTCATTGTTAACAAGTATATTCATCATTAACAACTTTTCATTGTCTCTTAAAATAAAACCAAGTACATCTTCATCCTATAACTCATCTATTTTTATCTCTAAATCTTCAGCATTCCTTATTAATCAGCAAAGGTCCAGTAAAAACATTGAAAGAAAAGCAAGAACATAATATAGTACTCCTTCCCATTTAATCAAAAAAGCCTTTATCTTCCTTTTTACTAATCAAAATATAATCTAAATTAACAATTAAACCTTACAAAAAATAAGATATAGTAACTTCTCTTTACATATCAAAAATAACAATATCCATTTATGATAACCACTAAGCATCATCAGAGGTTTCTTGCTCAAGCCATTTTCAAATCTTGATCAAGTTTTTTTCTATTACTTTTATTTCTCACCAATGAAGGCAGATATAGGTGTCCCATGATAATGTTGCAGGATCCAATCTGGGTTGGTCACCAGGAATAGAGGTTTAGTCTTCCGAGCTTTCAGACCTCGTGCTGAGCCCACCCTCAGGGAACTCCTCTCTAGCAGAGTGTTTTTATTTTTATTTCTTCTCTTGGAAATCTTGTCATCTTTATCCACGTCCATCTGTAATTTCCATGTAATAATTCCAGTACATCTCTTATATTCCAATTTTAAAAGATAATCCACATGTTTTGATACATTATTTGTATGCCTTTAATTTTTAAATGATCATTTAGTTCCATTGGTAAATCCAGCATATCCATCTATTTCTTATAATTTTTATGTACATCCTAGGTTCTATTCTGATTATATTCAGGGGTTTCTCTTTAATATCTGCTTTTGGTTCCAGTATAGAATCAAAAAGTCATGCATTTCTTGAACCCTGATTTTCTTTCTTTTTAAACAGATTGAAGAGAGATTCACAAAGTGACTGGTAAAGTTGCTGTTCCAAGATTTTTAAATCTTAAAGGAACAATAAAATACAAGTCTAAAGTGAATAAAAATATGGAGTTTGGTTGAACTTTAAGTTCATGAAAGGCAGCATTTATGGCTTGGAGCACAATGGAATCCATGAGTCCCAGCTGATTGAAATCGGTTCCTGATATCTAGTCATAAAAATAGGTCTCCAAAGTATAAATGGTTAATCACAACATGTTCCAAAGAGAATTTCAGGAATCTAGATCTAACATCCAGTAGCTTTTTAGGCTGTAATGTCTCCTGCACTCTGCAGAGCAGAGAAAAATATTGTGCATTGGTTCATTGTTCCTCATCAGAAGCCTGGAATTTTATTCTTAAATTATAACAGATTCTATAGATCTTTGCTAAGAAATAGTGAATGTGATCCTGTGACAGAACTCAGCATTAAAGCATAGGAAATGTTTATTAGGTAATGTTTTAGTTTTTATATATAAGTCAATTAAATAATTTCCGAAGGACTAAATATCTTTGGAAATAATACCAGGTAAGTAATTAAATATGCTAATTGTATAGTTCTTTATCTTAATTGAAAATTTATCATAATTCTAGTGGTGAAGAAAAGTATTTTTGTACACTGAGCAGCAATAGTTACTCAGTAATCAACTATTAGTCTGCAAATTGTGTATTTTTTCTATTTATTTAAGGCACCATGTTTGTTTTAATTATGAGCGGTTTAATTTCAGAATGAATATATGACTGTGTTCCTTTGAGCAAAATGTAACTTCTGATTCCTGCCTGAACTAGTCTTTGCAATTTCCTTGGCAAGATTTTTTTCAAAAGAGGGTTGCAATCTTCTGGAGAGCAAATAGTCCAAGTTCACCCAGCTGGCTTTGCACCTAAGCAGGTCTAGAACTCATGGTCCCCATATTTCAGCACTGCTTCCTTAACTATTACACTAAACAAAAGGGGTGCATATATTTTAAGCAAAAGGGGTGCATATATTTTTCTTTCCAAAGGTTTAGTCGTTTTAAAGTATCAGTCAAGTTATTAAATTCATCTGTACATTTAATTATTTTGAATTATATATATTGAATGTAATATTTCATATACATAGGTGAGACTATTGATTCCTAATGCACAAGCCAATTTAAAAATTTGTATGTCTCATTATATTTTCAGAAGAGACATTGGTGCCATATAGCAAGCCTAGCTTCCCATCCCCAGGTGGTCACAGCTCTTCAGGTACAGCATCTTCTAAAGGATCAACTGGACCCAAAAAAGCAGATGTCATGAAAGGAGGCCATCAGCGCAACATGAGCGACCTCATTGATGTAGGATATATTGGATTAAACAGTCAAGGACAGTTTTCTGATGAATTATGTAAGATTATTTTGCAATCAAGAACATTAAAATGTTTAAAATTAGAATAGAAGAAAAATGTTTACTTTACTGTGTCAGTGGATAATCATGGGAAAACTATTGTTAACAATATATTAACCTATAATATGCTGCAACATTTTTTACGTTTAATAATGTAAATCACAATATTATAAATTTAAACAAGTGTACACCGTATTTTCCATCTGAATTAGTATAAATAGTAATGTTCCATAGCCCTGAATCAATGGAACTTCTTGTTTAGTTTTCTTGAGTTTGTAGGGCACAAAGACCATGTTTCATAAAACTATATTATAACCATTTTGTTAAATAAGCAAGAAACAAACCAGTATATAGGAAAAATGAAAAGCCAAATACAATGTTAGTTTCCTAGAAATTTATAACACATAACAAAGGGTAATAACAGCTTCCACTAATGTTATGTCTTTTAGTACAGGAGACTCCCTCTATATAACATAATTGCTTAGATTCTTAGATTCAATCTTATAGACCTTTTCTTCATTCATACAAATTATTGAAAATAAAATAAAATACAAACAATTCTACAGATAGCTTAATTGATACACTTACTTTTTTACTTCTGAATCTCTTTTTATTTCATATAGCTTTGCTATGTTTAATATAAATTTAATATAATTTAATATTAATATAAAAAGTATTGATTTCCTAGTTTTATTACATATAAACATTATAAATATATAATATGCACAAGAGAGAAGGTGGTCACCTAGAAAAAAAGAACAAAACACTTTTTAACTATTCATTTGGAAGTTCTCAATTTTATTTAATCATTTTCTCTAAGAATTTAACATTAAACAGAAATTTAACATTTCTGAACAGCAAACTTTTAACTACAGTAGAAAACTACTGCTTACAACAGCATATTTATATTCCATGGTAAAGGGTTACACACACAAAAAAAATCTAAAGATATAGGAGGAATTTGTTCCCTTTATTTGTTGTCCCTTATTTTTATAAAAATAGAATATTTATATAGGCTATATATAAATGAATAAATCCAAAAGCTGTGGGCATATACCAAAATGTGAACTTTTGATAATATTACATTATACTTAGTAACTTAGTATTACAGGTAACTTAGTAACAATGAAGAAAAAGCTTTAAAATATGCAAATGGGAAAATGACTTATAGTTCTGTACAATAAAGAACAGTCTAGACCAGGGGTGTCAAATTGCCGGCCCATGGGCCGGATGCATTATCCAGAAGCCGCGCCCACCCCAATGGCAAAACTGTCCCGATATGTTGCGCGATGTCATGTGATGTTGCGAGTTTGACATGTCTGGTCTAGACATAATTGCATTTTCCTAATTTATGTGTAGAGAAAATGTATAAAGTCTGAAAAAAATAACACAAAGTGCCCATAATAATAGGGGGTACGCCTTTATTTTGTCCATAAATGATTCAAGTGAATGAACATGACCCTTTTCGAAAATTATGAGTGACAATGTAAAAGAATATCTATTTCAGCTCTACATATAAGAACCTTAATATTTTGGGGATGAGATCACAGTTGCTTTCTTATAGGATATTTTCTGTCATGTTATAAAACTTTGAACTGTATAAAATAATACTTGAAATGTGAATTAATGTAGCTCAAATACATATTACATATAAATTTCACTTACAATTGGGTCATAGTTATTCAGTTGTAGAACAAATTAGATCAATTTATTTTCTTCAGTTAAAAATCTATTTTAATAATAGTTTTGCTCTACTTCCAGACTTCTCTTTTCCAGAAATTTGTAACGTTAAGATGTATTAAAATATGCAAAGATGGTATTTTGTGGTGTAAATTGTCCGAAGTTTCTACTCTTACAATTACTGCTCCCAATATTTATTTTAAGCATCAAAATATTGTAATGTTTTAATTTACATGCACTAAGTTTAAAATGTTATTTTAAACTATATTTTTGATCAATATATTCTTAAATCATAAAACAAATGCATAATTTTTAAAACTAAAGTATCTTAAAACATTATCCTGCTCTTGTTTTTTTGTTTAACAGAGTAGTTGAAAAGAAACATCTCCAGCTGCTTTCAAGGCCATCAAGTCTCAACTCATGGAAGTGATGACACTAAACAGTGCAATGAACATTTTCTTTATTTATGTACTTACTATTAAAGGAACTGTAAATGCAATGTAAAGAAACACAGCCACACATATCCCACAGATATTCTACCTGTGTTCTTCTTTTACACCTTTCATTTTAAATTCTTTCTTATTAAGCATATATACCGGGAAAAAATCACCCTGCAGGATGAAATAAATTTCCCTTGTACATAATTTCTTTTTATTGCATTGCTATGCAAACTCACCTTCATTTAGCTATGTTCATATTATTGTCTGTCCTTCTTGGTCTGTTGTACTATATGTGAATTAATAGGCTGTGGTGCCATATAATAACTTTTAATTGTGTAACATTTTATGTTTGAAGTTTGCACTGCAATTTTTTTGTTGGTGATAAGCACAAAACGTTTATGCCTCGTGTCATGAAGAAGAAGATTGAATGTGAAAGGAGTCTATGTACTGTAAGCTATGTTGGATAATGCTGGATGTAATGAATTACGTTAGGTGGTTTTCCATTTGGGTGTAGAATTAGGAAGATGACTGGCAAAACTGATGTTAGCAAGAATTGATTGGGACATCAGGAATGGAATGCCATCTGAAATAGCAAGCAATGTTGCTTTTATCATTTAAAGAAAAAGGTCAAATGATGGAAGTATCAGTTTCAAGATCAGATTAGAACACGAAAGCCTCCTATCTTCTTAGTATCAGTTTTTCATTTATTCAGTACAGTTGCACTCACTACAAAGGAAGGAAGTTAAGATGTTTCACTAAAGCTGTTTTTTTATACTACTTTTTATTTTAGAAAAGAGTATTATCATTGATTTGCTCTTCCATCTGAAGGTAGAGATCCAGTATGAACATATGAAGGTAGAGAAATACTTAGCAAGACTTAAAGATGCAATTATCATTGAGATATCCAAGCTGCTTCCAAAAATCTACAGTATTCGTCTTTTCAATGCTTGTTCAGTAAAGATGAAGATGTAGAGCTACGTCACTTGAAATCCATGATCTAATTTTTCTTATGCAACTAACACATAGTTTTGCTGTTTTATTATCTGAAACTGTAAGACATTGAAATCCAATTCATTTGTATTTAAATCTTGGGTTACAGTAGTTGAAAAGAAACTTATGGCATATTCATGCTCAGTTTGAAATCATGGTGTTTCTTTTTACCAATTCAATAACATTACAGGAAACTGGTTTAAACATGGAAAAGAAGACATCTTTGACCTATTTTTGATGACTAAATTTAGCCTCTTCTTACAAAAACAATGCATGTTTATACACTTTTTAAATAAACCAAACTTGCTGTAAGTGGACATTAACAAAGCATCCTGTCTCATCATTAATTTTCATGATTTCTCAAGCTACTTGCCAGTTTTTCACATCTTTGTTAGAAATATTATACATGTATTCCAATGCATTAAATGTTTTATTTGAAGTTTACATCAAAAAGCTTATCTTATTCATTCATATCATTGTTACAAACATTCATATACACACAGTTAGTTCCTGTTGTTTATGCTTTGTCTTGATGATCATGCTACAGTTAAACAAAATACTTCTTGATCAAGTAAAGAAATATGCATTCTTTTTCATTACATTACTTTGAGAATGTGATAAACTAAAATATTTTTAGTATAAATTGTAAATCAGGATTGCAAGTATTTTTCATTTTAATTTAGTTCAGAGTATTGGCAAACTAGAAACAAGGAAAGGTGCATTGAATTCAGAGTGCATGGAAGTTATGTAAAATTCTCGGTAATTGAAATGTTAGACATAGCTAAGACCATTATTCTATAAAGACATAGAACATTCATAAGTGTAAAAAAACCATTTTTCTATCCTGAATTCTGTATATTAAAAATGAATATATATATATATACGCTAGCATTAGTAGAATGGATACAAAAAAATCTGCAAATAGTTTCATATAATGATGATACAAACAGCTGCTTTGAAGGATAAAAGAACTCATTCTACTCATAACCTACCAAAAATCGTGATACAGCTATGTCTGGTTTGGAGCAATTTTTGTGTACCTGTAGGCAGGGACTTTTCAATTAAACATTTCACAACACCAATCAGTTAAAAGTGACAAAAGATACTGAATTCCTATCATATATCACCTTAATTCTTATATATTCCTTTCTTACTCTGGAATACTGGAATTATGATGTACTGATGTACTAATAGCTAGGATATGGGACATAAGTCTATTGCACAAAAATATGTCTTTTGCAAGACTTGAGATAACCCATGTATTCAAATGTCAAGCAATCTTTGCCAATATTATCTGTGAAACCCTATGTGTTAGTATTAGGCACCAAATGTCATGAGTTTTCTTGTGAGAAAGTCACATTGCCAACAAGGTCTTTCCCCCTTAACCTCAACTTCTATGAGAGATTTCTAGGACTTAAACAGGCTTCCAATTACGACCAGAATATATTTGTCTTGGTTCTTGTTGCAACATGCAGTTTTATAAATGAAAACTTGTATAACTTTTTTTAAATCCACAGAGTGACTGCAATTAACATCTAGGAAAAAATAGGTATGTATTGAAATTACAGGAAATTCAGGATGCACGTTGGTGCATAACTGTTTACAAGTGTGTATTTTGGACACATCTGGCACTACACATTTGAAATCCTATTCCAAAAAATATATATAAATCAGGATTTAAATAAATGTTAATACTTTATATTATCATGGATTGGATTTAAATTTCATTTACATATTACAGTAAAATTGTAGCCATTTCTGTACTTAGATCCATGGTATTAACACTAGTATTTATCCTTTTTGTCCTGTGCAAAGTTAATAATTCCATGGCTATTATCATGCACTTTCATGCCAATCTTATTAGGCAGCATGCTAACAGTACTGAATATGCTGAAATATATTCCTCTTGCTAAATTGAGTGAGCTACAAAAGTGGCTTCA